GTTCACTGCTGAGCTGTAGGCCTCCATCGCATGTCATGGCCAGGCCTGCGATTAGAGAAATGAATGGGTTTTATTGCCACAAATACTGGTACATTGTTCTTATTGTAGCAGTTATACGTCCTTTTGCTGGGTGATACTGAGTCATGATTCAAAAAACGATATCTTACGAATGTAGGATATTGTAAGACAGACATTTCAAATATCGGGCTTAGGCATATTAATTCTGAAAAACGTTATTAATCATGAAATAACAATTAATAAAAATTTTCAACTCCATGCAACACAGATATACTCGTGAGAACGAGTACGACTAAGCTAACTTCAGTGCAAAATATTCAAGCGAAAAATAACACAAGTTTTAAGAATTTTTTGACTCGTGAGAACGTGTTCGACTAAGCTAACTTCAGTGCAAAATATTCAAGCGAAAAATAACACAAGTTTTAAGAATTTTTTGACTCGTGAGAACGTGTTCGACTAAGCTAACTTCAGTGCAAAATATTCAAACGAAAAATAACGTAAGTTTTAAGAATTTTTGCTTAAGCCTTAGAGTTTTACTCTTTCCCACCTGTGAGTACACTAGCGACGCAATCACTTGTGATGTAGAACGACCGAGGCGGGGTGACGTAGTTTGACGACGTTGCGTAGGGCGAGTGATGCATGTACACCACACAGATGGTGTTCACTGCCACTGAAACACTGCCTATCACCACACTCAGAGTCGCACTTGTCAAACTCATCATTTTTTTGGAACTGATGACTAATTATTGCTGTGTAATTTAGCTTCCAGTTCAATGATAGTAAATCGGAATAGTGCGAGGTGGAGGAACTTTCTTTAGCCTTAACGCAAACGTCTAATTTGCACTGTGTGTATCTTACCTAGTTTGGATTTTTTTTATAGCGCAGTTCAGGCGAGAAATGTGTAATTTCAAACATAGTGAGGCTGAAGGAATCGGTGACTGGAATTTTGATCTTTTTCTCAAGACTTATATAAATGAAGTTTTTGTATTAGTATCAATACAATAATACTACATGCTGGTGAGTAAAGATCTGAACCCTGACTAGCAATGTATGAAAACTTGTAACGCGCTCGAGGTAGACACCCGTCTGCGGTAGCATTGCTCGTGCATCGACCTGGCGCTACCCGCATGTCCCGATGAGCCGCTGTAGGTCCTGCATATTCTGGCTGGAGTGCTGCTTTGGCTTTTTCCTTTCTTATCGAACGCTTGTAGCGACACCTACGACCGTAGCCTATTATCAAACATACTTAAGTACACGTATAACGGCCTAAGTACGCGTAGCGACCGATTCCTCATCTGTGTTCGGTGGGCTTAGCATTATCTCGGAATGTTGTCAGTGATAGGCGATGGTGGTACGAACTCGTAAAGTTGTTGATGGTCTTGTGATAAAAAAATGTTTCAGTCACATTTCTTGTGGCGATTGTCCTCTCTTTAGGCGAAAACAAATTAAAAATTGAATGTTGTTAAATTCTAGTCGCAAGGAAATTGCCGAGTTTCACTCCTCTCACTTACATTCTCCCTAGGCAACTAAATTTTGTACGTTTTCTCCATGCCTCTCATCCATCGCAATGACGTACTACTGATATATCAGATTATTGGTGAAAGTAGATTGCCCGTATGTACGATGTGGGTCAACGTCACTAACATATAGTTATTACTTGTATTCCATGTATTTTCCGGTCTTGATATAATTTCAAATTAGAGAGCGTGCTCTTGATTGAAGGGTCCCAAGCTTACGATAGCATGTTCGAATTTTTTGCCTTCATTCATGTACTTTCCAGCGATTAAATTTGTAACTTGCAGTCATCTTAAGAAAAGTATAAAAATGATCATATCATTTTAATAATAAAAACCCATTTTTCTGCCGGAAAATTTTTCACGGATATAAAATTATCATTACCAAAAACTTTGAATTCGTTTTGGATACAGTTTCTCTGTGACAAATACTTTCATTTTGATAAATTCTAATACTAATCTCTTCTTTTTTTCAGATACTCTTCATAATCATGTGTATATCCAGTTTTTAATTATCCGTGTGTGATGTTTTATTGTACGTATCATTAGAAATTATTAATAAACCTATCGGTAGCAAATGTACGAAACTCGGTGTGAGTCATAAGTGCTTTTTGTAAATACGTTAAGCCTGCACCTTCAAACGAACGAATATCTCCTACGTTAATATTATCAGAAATTTCTTGTTAGCAGAATACCAAATATTCTAGAACCCCATCTGATTACGATAATACTCAACGAATTTAATCTCTCGTGATTAATAATTTATGGGGACATATGATTGTACCAGAGTGAGCACGGCTACTGAATCTTTTTGCTCGATCAGAAGAGTATTTGAAAGATCGGAATCTCAGCGCGCAACAGAAGACGATCCGCATCTTCTCCAATAAATGCAAGAGGAAAGGACGTAAGTGTGATGGATATGATGGAGAAGCCGAGGATATTGTTTTCTCGTCTATTGAATTGCTCAACTGAGCGGGAATGATTGATTTAGTCCTGGAACCTCTGTAACAGCCGTCAAAATTCAAGCCGTGCTCTAGCCAATTGCTGCCGTGTTCTAGCCAATTGCTGCCGTGTTCTAGCCAATTGCTGCCGTGTTCTAGCCAATTGCTGCCGTGTTCTAGCCAATTGCTGCCGTCTTCACGATGCTGTCTGCACCAGTCCCTGTCTACGCCAGCTCGTGTCGGCGCAGTTCGGAGGCGATTGTGTGCCAGCAACTCTGGGATGGCATCACAGTCATCAGGAACCATAAGCAGTTGCCTTCATTTGATCGCATACGGCGATATATGACACGCACATACAACATGGAAGTCAGTGAGTAGCAAAATCTGTTCAATACTTGTAAGTTCGGGAAATGGTAATGGTTTTTATGAAGCTTGTTTCGAGTTACGTACAGTGGAAACGTATCAATTCTATTGAATATTTTGTATGAGGATAATATATAGATGATTGGTGAAATAAATTAAATAGTGACGGATGTAAACCATAACTTTTTCTTATTTTGTATGGCGTTTGGTTTCACCTTCAGTCCATTATGCACTATACTATTGTTACCTGATTTTAATTTACATTGAGAATGTTTTTGTAATTTTGAATTTACTAGAGTGAAATAACTCAAACGAAGAATTACCTACATTTGGAAGGACGCAATTTTTCCTTTTTTGCCTTCCTTTACCGTTCGTTCTCTGTATGAATTCTTGTATTATAACTGCTGAAGATGTTGGATGCTAACATGTCATGGTTAATGTCATGTAGGTAATATAATGTAATATGTAATGTAATGTTAATGGATGCCCTCATGTCTTATGATTAATTGCAGAGGAGATAGAACGTCACTTGGATGAATGTGCGTCTGACAACCTCATCGCCATCACGCGCAAGCTGGGCCAGAAAGGATCCAAAGTTGGCGTCGAACAAGAGGGGTTTCGGCTTCCTATGCCTCCTGTCAGTATACGAGCCTCCTTATTTTTGTTATTATATTTATATTTTTGTTGTTATTATATTTATATTTTCGTTCTTATTATATTTATATTTTCGTTGTTATTATATTCATATTTTCGTTATTATTATAGGTATATATATTTTTGTTGTTATTATATCTATATTTTCGTAGTTATTAGTAATATACCCTATATAGTACATTTTTTCGTTCGGCGTGACCGAACGATAACTTTTTATGTTTGATTATTCTACAGTGTATAATATGGTTCAGCGCATGAATAGCAATTTGTCGTTTGGATATTTGCTATTTGATGGGAACATGTAAGGATAATGTGCATAGATATGGATTTCAACACGGGTGGTTAATGGCCAGAGAATTCGTCAATTTAAATTTTTAACACAGGTACATGTACCTGTGTTTTAGGTTTTGGACACAGGTTTTAGGTTTTGAACACAGGTACATGTACCTGTGTTTTAGGTTTTGAACTGATGATGGAGCTGGTCTCCGAAACGTTTTCCTTTTTAAGAAATGGTGAATTTTCTGACCTGATGATGGAGCTGGACTCCAAAACGTTTTCAATATCGATATGGTGAATTTGCTTGGCGTTTTCTTTGCTTTTAAAATCTTGTGAACTTGCTATATAAGCAAACTGATACGTAATATAAGTACCTTAATTGAGCATTAGTAGGTTACTAAGAACCTTGAGTAGGTAGTAACTTCTGGTAAAATATTTATCACACTTTTAGGACTTTGCGCATCAACTGATGATATAAGGGGAATTTTTCTTACATTTACCAGAATAGAGTAGATAATTGTTTGCCGGTCAATATTTAACAAAATTGTTTTCCGGTTAATAAGTTCTGTTTAATCTAATATTTTGCAGTTTTTTCCCAACAAGTTCTGGACAAATTTTGCATAGCTTCCATTTTTCAAGTTTCTGTTGAGACTGCAATTCTTATAACTTTTCCCATCTTTTAGACCCAAATATATATACCAGATATTTTAATAAAGAAAATAGCATTAGAAAATAGAATATAACGGGTGTTATAAAATATTTCTTTTGAAATCTCTCTTGTTATTATGTCGATATCATTCTAGACTCTAGAGCATAGAGCTCGTGGGAGCTTTCCAATTTTCAAAAAATTGTTGTGCTAAGAAAACAATTACTTGAATTTCTTGACATGCTGATATGCTGTTTGGATCTGTGTTAGTAGATCAGTAGTATCATGATCAGTATGATGATCAGGAGTATCATTAATCATTGTTTTAGAGGTTGATATCACAAGCGTTTAATTGTAACTGAATCAGGTCCTATTCAATAAAATAATTTATTAATTTTTACACTGTTTTGCTAAACATTTTTGGCTAAGAAATTTCTCCTCAAAAATAAGCATACCGGTACTAGAATTATTTCTGAACCATATTACATTTGCTAACTTCTAAGACCAATTAAATGTTGAAAGCTGTTTACTTCATTACATTTTCTAACATTAAAACCAATTATATATTGAAGGCTGTTTACTTATCAGAAACGCATGTTGGCTCGAGCTGCTGCCAAGAACGGGCTGAGCAGGGAAGAGCTAAACGCTCTGCTTGCCTTCACTGTAAACAAGCTCAGGGACAGAGTGAGTCGTGTTCTGTTCCCACTGTTATCACTTCCTATACTCTCTTTCACTATTATCACAGATTTTCTAGCATTTTTTTATAAGACATTCTTACATTTGTGTTATACAAATCGTATTAGCATTGTCATTTGTTAGGTAGCACTATTATCACAGATTTTCTATCATTTCTTTCTAAGATGAGATATTCTTACATTTGTGTGTAACAAATCGTGTTCTCATTATTAGCACTTCCTATACTTTCTTTCACTATTATCACAGATTTTCTATCATTTCTTTATAAGACATTCTTACATTTGTGTGTAACAAATCGTGTTATGTTCTCAGTATAGCACTACCTATACCTTCTTTCACTAGTATTATCACAGATTTTCTATCATTTCTTTATAAGACATTCTTGCATTTGTGTTATACAAATCGTGTTATGTTCTCAGTATTAGCATTTCCTATACTTTTTTTCACTGTTTTCACAGATTTTCCATCATTTCTTTCTAAGATGAGATATTCTTACATTTGTGTATAACAAATCATGTTCTCACTATTAGCACTTCCTATACTTACTTTCACTATTATCACAGATTTTTTATCATTTCTTTATAAGATGAGATATTCTTACAATTGTGAATACAAATCATGTTCTCACTATTAGCACTTCCTACATATACTTTCTTTCACTGTGTCTGTTTCACAAATTTCTAGCATTTCTTTCTAAGATAAGAAATTCTTAAATTTGTGTTTTACAAATCGTGTTATGTTCTCAGTATTAGCGCTTCCTCTGCTGTCTTTTGCTATAATCACTGATTTTCCTTTCAACTACAGTCTATTATGCAGGACAGAGAAAATCTTTTCTAAGATGAAACTTTCATGTATTCGCATCGTCCAATTTATTATAAGGAAATAATGTGTTAGTTATTGTAGCTCTTGTAATTCAATACCATCTTGTTGGATCAATCATCTTTTTGGTCATTGTGTTCTACATCTAAGCCTTGTATTAATTCTTATTACATATGATGCTGGATATTTTAATATAAGTGCTTCTCCTTTGTGGCAGTGGTCTTGTGTAGCACGTTATGTTTTAATCGTTATTTGGCCTTCTTACCTACAACATACTTTATTTCTTCTACTTTTGTGTTACGTTTTCCATAAACATCTATTCCAGCGATGTAGTTATTGCCATGAAGCTTTGTGTTTTATTTATTTATGAGGTGCATAGAAACCGTTCTCCAGTTCGTCTAATTTAAGTAACTTCGTCTAATGCTGCATTTCATTATGCTTCAATTTTTAAATAACTTTGACTACTTGAACGAAAATTAGAGCAAATTAAAGTGAACATGTTAGCTGTTAACCTGAAGATGTTTAGATGGAATTCCATATAATATGCTGTGGAATATTTTATTTTAATCTATGAGAACACGCAGTAAACTTTAACGGTCAACTTTTTATTGCAGCTCCCAGCAAATCTCATGGAGCGATCCGTGCCCGCCGTGGGGCAGAAGCCTGGTGAGTTGAGGGCATTAAATAAAAATTCAAATGTCATTAAATAACATTTGAATACTTCAATTTATTATTTTTAATTAGGTTCATTAGTCATTAGTGAAGAACATGGATAAGATGTTGAAATAGCCTCATCTCACAACCTTGCATTCGTGATAAATGTAAATGAATAGTAACTCAATTATGCAATAAATTTTTTTCCAAAACATATAATTCGGTGAAAAATTATTGCTTATTATTCCCGTTTACACGCGAAATTAAAAAAAAACACTCCCGTCAGGCGCCGAGAGTTCGACTTCTTCTACCTCGACATCCTCAGGAAATTCCAACCCTGCCTCTGCAACCCCAAACTCCATACAACCCCCTACAACATCCCCAGGTGGGGGACCAGCTCCCCCCTCAGCCGGGTCCATCAGTGCCAATAATGGCATGAATTTACACAGTAATTTCGGTAGTGAGCCTTGGCGAGCACAGCTTCTGCTGCATCATCACATGGACTTGCCAACCATGGAGAGGAAGACGCATGATAACAGATATCGTACAGCGGCAGATCTCGAGATCGATGCCATGACTATAGTGCACAACGTGTGTATCTACCATGGCTGTGAGTCTGGGGGATGGTTACTTCTATTGTGTTATGCTTAGGAGGGGGGTTGAGCTTAGGAGGGGGGTTGAAATTACTAGTATTACTATTGTGTTATGCTTAGGAGGGGGGTTGAGCTTAGGAGGGGGGTTGAAATAACTAGTATTATTTTTCGGGTCCTGGTGGTGCTTGCATCAGATGGTTGCAATAATTAGTATTATTATTCGGTTCCTGGAGGTGCTGATGATGTGGACCGTACGTAATTATTATTATTTTTTATTATTCATATCATGGTAGCAGTGTTTATCAGGTGGTCGTAATTATCATTATTATTCGGGTCTTGGTAGCAGTGCTGATCAGGTGATCGTAATTTGTATTATTATTCTATGGAGTGATAATCGTGGCGTCTGTATCAACAAAATTTGTCTGCGCCAATGCAAGTGAAAAAATATTATTGTGTTGAAACGATAGCATGTTACTCTCACTTGTAATTTTAGGAGCATTGGACCATTTGCCATCAAATACATTAATCATTTTCAATTCTGCTTGTAAATCTTCTCCTGGTTCCAGGAGTTACTTGATTTCTAGATGCAGCTTCCAGACTAAGATTTCAAGATTAGTTCTCTGTAAGATTAGTTTTTACCATGTGCAGCAAGAGTTCTAGATACAGCTTACTGACTAAGATTTTAGGATGAGTTCTCTGTAAGATTAGTTCTTACCATGTGCAGCAAGAGTTCTAGATACAGCTTACAGGCTAGGATTTTAAGATTTGTTCTCACCTTGTGCAGCGAATAGCAGCATTGCTGAGAGCGCCCGAGTGTTCCTTCGGGAGGTGCAGCACTGTCTGCTGGAGCTACAGGTCTGCACAGACTGCTACCGCTGGCAGTTCTGCTCTGAAGATCCCTACTGGTTCTGCAGACCATGTAACCCTCCTCACAGACTAGTCTATGCCAAGCAAAAGGGCTTCCCTTATTGGCCTGCCAAAGTATGTACCGTACTCTCGTTTTTATTTTTAAGAGGTATTTTTACCGTTATTCTGTTGACATTGAAATTTCCCTTACTAATCCAAGCAAGATTATTGATATATAGCAAGATTGTTGATATATACATATACCTATATATATATATATATATATACCTATAAGATTATTGATATATTGGTAGTCTGTCTGAAATATCTAATGGATAATCTTTGTTTTGTACTGAATTAAAATTAATCATGTAATATGTGACATATTTTTATTTTGTTGATTAGTTATTGAGTAATTAAATTACCTATGTTATCCAGGTGATGAGAGAAGGTGCATCGAGCTGCGATGTTCGGTTTTTTGGAAGTCAACATCAGCGCGCCATCATAGACATCTCCCTCATTAAACCCATCACTGCCAGCGCACAACTCCTACAGGTCCTTAATTTATTCCTATAGGTCCTATATATTGCTCCTACAAGTTCTTACTTTTATTCCTATAGGTACTATATTTTGCTCCTACAAGTCCTTAATTTTATACATATAGGTCCTATATTTTGCTCCTACTTGTTCTTACTGTTATTCTTATAGGTCCTATATTATGCTCCTACAGGTCCTTTATCATTTCAAACGTGATGCTGGCATGTTTGAAATCGAATCTCCTTCCCTCATTTGTTGTCGTCTGTTTGATGAAGTTCGAGGGTTGATTTATACCTGGATCCGTCTAATTTGCTTTCTTAGGTGTAGTTGAACGTTTTATTTCTATTGTTCTTTTTTAATATTCCGTTGCCTGTATTTAAAGTCTTGTGTTTCTTGTTTACAGACTTCTCTATATTTTTTTAGGAGTGTAGGACATGCATATATTATAAGAATTAATGTATCTAATATTTATACTGAGCTATCACATATTTTTCAATGGAGTTGTCTTTGAAGAACAACAAGTTTTTGTTCATGTGAAAGCCTTTTATCTTCATCGAGGTCTTGCAGCGTAAACTAGTACATTTTAAATTTTTTTATGCCCTATGATTTCTCGTGAAATAACTGAATCTAATCATGCAGATCAAGAAGACGTCTGCGTACACGAAGGCAATGGAAGAACTCAAGCACCACCAAGAACTGCTTGGTGGTGGTGATGCTAACCTTCTACCTCCTCCTCCTCCCCCACCTCTACCTCCCCAGCAGCAGTCCAGACCTAACAAACACCGAGAAATAACAGACCAAACAGACAAACTTGTATCGGGATGTTCTAGCAAACATTCGCCTGAACAAACGAGTGATCCTCGGCTAGAACAGCAAAGTTCCTCGAGTTCTTCTCTGATTACTCGTGAAGATTGGGAGCAACACCAGCAGCAGCTGCAGCATCAGTTCCAGCAGCAGCAGCAACAACAGTATCATGGCAGCTATATCGAGTCTGCAGCTCTGCAGCAGCAATATCAGGCTGCTACCCTTGCCTCCCAACAGCTGCATCACGCTGACTACAGGTGACCAAATTTTATAATTAGATAGTCGCTTTTTAGCGAATTTTTTCATTTATGGAAAAAAAGGCGCTATTGTGCTCGTTATGTCCGTCCGTCCCTCCGTGACTTCACGGACGGACGGACGAGAAAATGCGCTCTCTGTCACTGCAGTGAGCACTGATCTACTTTTTTTCTATTATCTTCCTTGAGTTTCACTTTCTGAAGGAAACATTTTCCTATTTATGTTGATTTTTTTCTCGAGTGAAATAATTAAGTAGGTAGTTATTTTATTCCATGAGAAATGCTTTCAGCAAATTTAGCTGTTGAACATTTTTTTATTGTCAGCTGCTAAGAGTTAAGATTATGTTAAGCCCCCAATTACCTACTCTAGTAATAACGTCTCGTCACTATGACGCAGCTGCCTTGAATTCAAGCAATGGTGATATTGTTTGCTTGGTCCAGCCACCAATTAATATAAAATTTGCTGCTTGTCACAGGAAAGATCAGAGCGCCGTGGCTTCTTCCGACAGCGGCGTCAAGAAGGAGAAATCCGTGAGTATTTGGCTTTCAAAATTATCTCAATTTTGGACCGTTGATTATTAAATTTTAATAATCAATTTAGCCAACGTTACATCAGAGCTGCTTAAGGATCTATACCGTACAAGAAGTTAACTATTCTTTCTTGCCACATCTCAAGAAGCATGAATTGTTTCAAATCAATTGTATAAATTGAATTATTTGCTTTGTTACAGTCTAAATTTGATCGATGTGAAAGTTTAGTTGTGATTTGCATCAAACCTTTCTTCTCAAATAACTTACGTTCTTATCACTAGATTTGAAGGAAATCTGAAAAATGATTTAAAATTTTACCAATTGAACTGTCAAGGTTTAGCTTATTTATTTAATTGATTTCAATTAAGCAGTACTATTAATCATGATCGGAAAAGTATCAATAACTAAAATAAGTTTCCTCTTTGCAGCCAACTAAACATAAGCTCGTCGCTGACAATTGCACTAACGAAGATCATAGCTTAGAAGACGCAAGACAAATCAGAGAAGAAGAAAGAGGAGACGGTGAAGAGCGAGACGAAGCAATGACAGGTAAAGAGCGAGAGCGAGGAGATGGACGAGAAGAAGAGCCTGCGTCTGAAGTGGAAGAGAAGAAGAGCGACGATGAAGCTCCTCTTCCAGCCTCGTCGCCTGTCACGTCTTCGTGCAAGGCTGGCAGTGCAAAGGTAGCTCACTGCTACGTTTTTTTAAAATAACAATCACAATTACTATATTTTATTTGAATTCTACAGTGCTAAATACAATTAATCACAATTAATGTACCTATGCTTGCGTCTGCAATATTATAAATTATCATACTGTAAATTACTAAGTATTTCTTAGAGACCAACACTATTCTCATTGATATCTTAGGAAATTAATATTCAAGCTATTGAAATGTACCAGCATTCCAAAAATGTAGGTACTACATTAACGTAATCACATTTATTGTCGCCATCCTCCTCTTGCAGCCTACACATGTTCTCCAAATATTTTTAACTTTTTTATTCATTTTACTCAATCAGAGCCACGATTGCTGCCATTGACAATCATTGCAATCATCACCTGTTCTGTCATAAGCCACGCCAATGACGCCATTACTAACATCCCCCTTATTCAGAATCACTGCGTTGATTCTGAATCACTTTGGTGTACCAAAATGTGCGAGTTTTACTAGTTATAATAAATTATATCTTTTCCTTTGACTTGAAAACACCGCTTAAAAGTCAGATCCTTAACATCCTTTTTGAATGTCTTTTTAAGTCCATTTTAAATGAATATTTGTAAAAAAATATAACTCGGTACTCTACAATCAGTGACAGAGAGAGCACTTTCTCAAAATCGACGAAAACGTGAAGTCACGGACGGACGGATGGACGGACATGATGAGCACAATAATGCATTTTTTCCGTAAATGAGAAAATGGGCTAAAATGTCTAACTTAATGACTCAAGCCGTGCGCTTTGCCTAACCCTTGACTGTGTTGGTGTGCAGAGCGGCTGCTCGTCGGACAGCAGCGGCAGAGACGACGTCGTGTCATCGTCTTCCCAGGAGCCTGCCAGACGCTCTCTCTCCGTACAGACCCCCCAGCATCTCCTACAGGTATTGCCTCTTGGAAATTACTTGTATTTATTCAATGTCATAAATTCCGCGTCGAGATTTTAGCTAAATATTTCTGACCCTGCAGCACCTACTGCAGTACCGATGTCTACTTTCTCTTGCTCAAGTTCTTACTGGAAAATACTTGTATTTCTTTAATCTTATAAATGCAATGTTAGTATTTTAGCATAACCTTTGTGCTGGTACCAGCCTGCACTTCCAGGTAGGTATTGCTTACTCTTCCTCACTCGTGTCTTCTTTTTCATTTCATTTAGCCCCTTTTTTGTCAAAAAATATAACTCAGGACTCACTGCAGTGAGTGACAGAGAGCGCATTTTCTCGTCGACGAAAACTTGAGGTCACGGACGGACAGACGGACTTGGCGAGCACAATAGTGCATTTTTTCCATAAAAGAGAAAATGCGCTAAAAAGGGGCTAAGCACATCTAGAGGCAACTGATCATTTATAACGTGCAATAACTGTGCATTAACTGAAAATACTTACATTTCTTTAATCCAATAAAATAATGTTATCGTAAGATTTTAGCATAATCTTTGTGCTTGTACCAGGCCGCGCTGGAGGACCTGGAGAGCCATCAGCTGCAGCAGGAGGGCAAGGGTGGCAGTGACAGCACTTCCCCAACCATCAGTCGGCTGCTGGACCAGGTTATTGAAGAACGCTACGTAATACATGCATTGTATGATTAATAGTTACGTTACGGAGCGTTTTAATTTAGGTTTTGAGTCACGGTCACCGAAGGCTTTTTAGCGCATTTTCTCATTTATGGAAAAAAGGCGCTATTGTGCTCGTCAAGTCCGTCCGTCTGTCCGTCCGTGACCACGTTTTCGTCGACGAGAAAATGCGCTCTCTGTCACTCACTGCAGTGAGTACTGAGTTATATTTTTTGTATTTATTGAATCGACTCCAACAAGGATACTGTTCCTTAACCCTCTACCGCCTGACATGAGTAACCGGAGCAATATTGTCACGCGCCTACTTCCCAAAAAGGATACGTTCTAGTGAGCGCAAAATGACTTGCACTGATGGTTGCCGCCACGTACGGCAACTTTAAATGTTCTCTGTTGCGTACAGACGTCCTCAGGTTGCTACACTCAATAATTTACTTATAATTTTAGTTGAAAGTTATCTTCCCGGAGAGTGATATATACGGCGGTAGAGGGTTGAATATGCATCCTTTAAAACGTAACACGTGACGTCAAAAAGATGGAAACGCTTTGCTCCAGACGATAAGGGACAGCTCTATAGCATACGCTCCCTCCTGTCATGAGGTTACTGAACTTGTTGTTCTGTTCAGCTAGGTTGTTCAGTTCAAAGGTTGTTCTGTACAGCTATAAACTCTGATTTGATTCACCGAAGAAAAATTCCTCCTCTAATGTAATGCCTCCGTATTATTAATCTTGACCTTTTTTTGACGGTAACTCTAGTAGCCTGTCTTTTAGGTGCTAATAACATTTATTGTTGGCAATGTAGGCGTAAAAAGGCGTTAAGCAAATCTATAGACAACTGGTAATTTTCAGCGGTAACTCTATTAGCCTGTTTTTTTATGCTTATAACATTTATTGTTGTCAATATACTGGTAAAAAAGGGCTAAGCACATCTACAGGCAACTGATAATTTATAACGTGCATTTACTGTGCATTAACTGATTGAATAATTATAGATACGCACGGAAACGACGTGTTCTGGTTCCAAGAACCGCAGCGTGGGAGCATCGCTGCGTAAGGTGGAGCGAGAGTTTGAGCGCATGAAGGAGGAGTACCGCGCCAAGCTGGCCACCCTCGAGGAGACGCACAAGCAGCACATCCGCGACACCAAGCGCAAGCAGTGGGTTAGTGGCTCTTCTTATTTCTGCTAATATGCCACGAGAGCCCTTTAATAGGATGATACTAAGGTAGTATTGTCCAGCACAAGCAGCACATCCGCGACACCAAACGAAAGCAGTGGATTAGTGGTTCTTCTTATTACTACTAAAATGCCACATGTTGAGACCTTTAATAGGTTGATACTAAGGTAGTATTGTCCGCATCTACAGTGAGCACAGGCAGCACATCCGCGACACCAAACGCAAGCAGTGGGTTAGTGGCTCTTCTTATTTCTGCTAACATGCCACGAGAGACCTTTTTATAGGATGATACTAAGGTAGTATTGTCCGCATCTACATTGAGCACACGCAACATATCCGCGACACCAAACGAAAGCAGTGGATTAGTGGTTCTTCTTATTACTACTAACATGCCACATGTTGAGACCTTTAATAGGTTGATACTAAGGTATTGTCCGTTCTAGGGCTGCATCTACAGTGGGACCGGTCTTTCTTGTACATTTGTCTATATAATTGTCTGTATATGCAGTATTGTCCTGGTACAGTTCTTATGTGAATGGCTTTGAATGCTTGCTCAGTAATTTGTATGTTTGCGAGATGTACGAGAGTGAGGCGATATATCACTGCTGCTGGAACACTGCCTACTGTTCAATTGTTTATTTCAGTGCTGGACGTGTGAGAGTGAGGCGATATATCACTGCTGCTGGAACACTGCCTACTGTTCTACGGACTGCCAGCAACAGCACTGGCATAAAGAACATAAGAAGCTCTGCCGCAGGAAGAGATGAAGTGATAGGCGTCATACGGCGGTCTATTTTCTCTGAAGTTAAAGTGGCCACTTAATAAAATTGTTATCTCGTGTCGTGACTAGGACGTTTTAAGTTCATAGAAGAGATTTGGATATGATGCTTATGTTTGTAATTGTTATATGTTAGAGCATGACAACTTATTTAATTGATAGGTTATCAAGTGTCAACTTCGATAAAGTAAATGACGTAAACCAGTGGTTCCCAAACTTTTTCAGGCTGGCGCCCCCTTTGGCTCCCCAGTGAATCTCAGACTCTAGCGCCCCCCCACCCCTCCCCACCGACACATTTAAAACAAACGCCTCTTTCTTGACTCGATAAAACTTGGAACACGTATTCATTAGGATCTAACGGTGATGTTTAGCTCGTGAAAAAATTTTAAATTTCACCTTCATTCCCGAGTTATATGGCGATACGGGCCGAAGTTCGCTGTGATCAAAGAATTTCTTCCAAATTACTGAACAGATTCGAACGAAATTTTTTATAGAAATTCCTTACTACAAAACGGTGATTTTTAGCTTGTGAAAATTTATTCGATTCGGAGTCATGTTCTGCACGTGTTGTGTCAAACAAACCTACGAACTTCTGTTATCGACTTCGCGGACTGCCGCCCCCCTACTGCCCATTTCTTCCTCACCGCCCCCCCCCCAGATCTTTCCACCGCTTCCAGGGGGGCGATATCAACCACTTTGGGAACCACTGACGTAAATTTATTTGGTAAGAGATTGACAATTCTGAACTCCCGCTTCTGAATTTCGATTTGAATTTTGCGCCTGTTGAGCATATTTTTTGATGACATTTTTATCAGTGACGTAATCCCTTTAGATTCAGAACATCAGTTTTTGATCATTTGAAAGCTACTTGTTTTCATTATAAGACCTTTTTGCGTAAACTCGTACATTATTAATTACTGAAAAGATTCTTAATTAATGGAATGTGGACATTCTGAAGTCTATTTATGCATTGACGAAGATATGATATGAAACGTAACTGCATGTTTTATTAATATTTTTAACACTGATCAATCGGTACCTTACGTTTGTTTGTATTGTCTGGATACAGTTGAAAACCTTAGTTAGTTTAGAGTTAGTTGTTTTGATCGAAAATTTTACTTTAGCGAATATTTATTTATGCGTCACTTGACTTATTCTTGATTATAGCTGCCCTGGATTTTTGTCTACAAGCCTCTAACAGACGAACTTGCTAGAAAGTTATTTAAATTTCGACTAAGACGAAAAATATATTGCGATCTAAATTCTATTTGCGGTAAAAATATTATTAAAAGATATCCTATGTTTTTTGTTAAATTGATTTTTGTACCAAGAGTGTCATCTGCTAAAGCTACCATTGAAAATAGGTAAATTCAAGTTTAACGACATTTATGATATGGATTTGTTGATTTCATTAAATTTTATGTTCATTAATTTTAGTTTATTGGTGTACTTTATGTTGTAATAGATCAGTGAATAGGAAGAAAAGGTTTGGATCTCATCGTGCATGCATACAAGCCTGCGTTGTCTAATGCAGTTCCATCATTTATATTCCTGTCCTCGAAAAAATGAGATTAAATACCTACTGTTAATAATAGTACGTTGTTGTGTAATTTGTTGCATATTTCGGTACAATCCCAATGATGTGCTAACGAAAGAAAACAATCATCAGGGATCTTCCTCCTACTAAAATCTTCTTCATTATTCACTCTCCATTTTCTTCGTTACTGGTCATTCTTGTTTCATTTTTAACTTGTTACGAAATGAACTTCATAGCGATGTTAATGTAACCATTTTATGTTTGGCTTTTATACACTGTATCTTTAACATCATTTTAAACACCCCTGTCAATTTAAGTTGCACATTGTAATCTTCTTGAGATAGAATATCTAATTTTCAATTTTAATTTATCTTCATATTTCTTGCTATTGAGAAGCGACCAGATAACCAGATCTCAAAATTGTTAAGCTATGTAAATTTTATCGCGTTCTGTTTTAAATTAGTAGGTTGCGTGACTATTTATTATGAAGTTATTTGTGAGAAATTGAAAAGTGTTTCGTTTTCAATTTTTCAAGGACAGCGCTATATTTTCCTCACGACTCGCTCAATGATTTACTTTTTTCATTTCTCTGAGATTTAGGGTCGATATTTTTTATTCATTAGTATATCCTCAAACTTAGAACTTCTAAAATTGTTTATAACATTCGTCAGATTTTGCAGCACAGATTAGTTTGATAAATTTTATGTATGCATTTTAATTCTTGGTTTTGAACCAACATTGCTTAGATATTAGGCCTAGAGCTCAGACCTAATGAAGACAAAGAAAACAAGCTTCCCATGCCTGTCCGGCAATAAGGTTCCAAAAAAACGCACGGTTCTAAATGTACGATTAGTTATGGTTTTGACCTGCAGTTCAAAAATTATCCTATGATGGGTCGTTAAATTTGGTAGCCCTAATTTCTAGTACAATACCTCGCGGATGTGAGACCGCCCATACTGACCATTCTGACCACAATGATTGTACTGGCCTTACTGAAGAAGTTACTTTGATGTTTGCCTCGATGAAGAACTAAGAGTTAAACGTGTGGGTACATTCGCCGGGTGTGGACGTGGGTTGTGCTCTGGTGCTCTCTATATTTTGGTGTTGTAGAATAGCGTATTTTATCCGCGAAGACTTAAACTCGTAAGTAATTTTTGAACAATCTTGCCAGAAACAAGTTAATTTCGTTTGATTACAAATACCGTATTTGATTTGTCTAATTTGTGTTTTGAAACCAGTTTAATCATTATATGCGTGCGTGACGGTCATCGTTATGTTTATGCAGAATGCAATGTTCTCTTTACCTCGTTATTTACTATGTAAACTTTTATGATCTCAATATGAAACATGTCGTTGTATAGGTGTGTTGTTCTACTCTCAACGTTCGTTTTAAGATATTGATGAAGCTTAATAATATCTTTTGTCTTGATCTTTGTTGTATTGCTCGGTGCCATTTACCTATGCGGAAATTGTAGTAGTGTTTCAATTGCTCATAGTTAAGTCTTGCCTTTTCAAAAAGACAGAGAAAAAATATAAAATTGAGTAAAGCAAATCAAAATAAGTATTGTTTTCTATTTAGCCCGTTAGTCATGAGTATAGATTCTCAAAAGATCATCCGATCGTGGACTACGATGATCATCGATTCGCGCGTCTATTCTGTGATTGACAAAATTGACGTAATTCGTGATAAGTAGGAAATGTAAGACACGTCAAGCGTCTATGTTTCCATTCATTAAATCTTCCGAGTTATGAAATGATAAGAAGAAGGATTAAAAGAAGAGAAAATAATGAAAAAAACATGATTTTCTCCTTAGAGATAAGCGTTCCAAAGTATAACGTTCGTTTGGCTTGAATTTTCGTTTCCAATGACGTTTTTTTATGTCTACGGACTCCGCTCAAGTTTTGAATATTAACGAAATTTGATTGCAAGCAATCCTTAGCTCTTGTTTCTGCTCGAGCGAAATCTTAACGACATCTTCAGAAACTCAGCATTGGGGTTGAATTTGCGACTATTTTAGCGATTGTGTATAATATATACGTTGTGGAAGAGCATCGATGTGTACAGTATACGAGTTTTTCCAGGGTGTCGGGAGGGTGTTGGTGATTGGATTATTAGCGAGTGAAATGTACAGCATATGCTAGTGAGGGATAAGAAAAAAAATTCAATTTGAAGGTTCATCGTTTGAATAAACTCAGCGCGATGACGTAGCCTCAAGGCAGATCTGTGGTTGTTTTAACATGTGCAATAAATTTCAATTATTTTCATTCTCGAAGTAAGCAAGAATTATAATATTTATATATTATATATATAGAGAATATATAATATATAATAATTCCTCAACGTTATTTTCATCTGAACGGAACAATTTGCTTGTATGGATAAAGTCCACTTCATTTAAAGGTAGTTGAGGTCGGGTGAACTGGACCAATTCAGTCAAATATAACTTCCTGTTCAGCTCGCTTGCTCACTAGCTTCAAAATTGTGTCAAAGTTCTATTATTATATGATGCATTTTGCGGACTACGGCGCATAACTAAATTTCTCTTTGACCGAAAAATTTTGCCGTAAACTATTAACCCTCGGTTTATTTTATTACTTGAATTAGTTTTTATTAACATGCGCTTGGGGAACAGAAAAATGTAATGCCCTTGACAAAAATGTTGTTCAGTTGGACGTACCAGCTTCTTGATATTTTGGTACCGTTTACTGTCATAGGCAGCATATGGGTGAATAATTTAAGCTGCTCACGATTACGTGACTTAAAAAAGATACGATAGAATTATTTACATGAAATAGAAAATTTGCCAACAATATACCGGAAAAACGTAACATAAAACATAGCGCTTTAGGCGAACATATATTTTTTCTGCTTGCAAAATAAAAGAGATTCAAAATTTTGACCCGAATCGAACGATCGATGGAGAAATCATTTTTTCAGTGTTAAAAACTTACTCTATATCCTCTAAAAGTATTTGCTAGAAGTATTTGCTAATATATCCGCTAAAAGTATATGGAATCGAGTAGTTGCTGAGTTTTTTTTTCATCCTAACTCATAAGTGGTATGCCACACACTACCGGTAGCTGCATGTGGCTGCAGGATAGGACGCTGGGCGACCTTGAGAAGATGACCTTCAGACTCCGGTGGCCAGTAACAACTCTGGCTCAACGTTTCGGAATGTTGAATAGTTTCAGCGATTAAGTAATCAATGCAATTTTTTTTAAATTCTAGGACCGAATAGACTTGAGTATAGGTCGTGGATTAGATTAGCGTCTCTGGGCTTTTGCATGTTTGATTCAACGACTCCATTAAGTGAGCGTCAACTTGAAAGAGCGTCAACATTACATACTGCATGAACATGAATGACAAATGTCACAAGTCCTGATCCCTGCCTGATCGTGATCATGGAACGATCACCTCATTCTCTATAACCTATCAATTAAATATTGACTATATATACTGCAGTACTGCTGCACACAAAATATTTAATGCTGCCATGGCTGCTAGTCAGTAATAACCTAATTACACGTAATCTAAAAGTTCTGCATAAAGATTTCGCATGCATTTAAAATAAACACTTACCATTCTTGGGGACCGAACGATCAGCCATAACACCCACTTGCTGGGTAAAAATTTTACATTGATTGTTATTTCCTTATTAAACACTTGAACACTCATCTAAAGTTGTACCTGGTATTATCTTAACTGATAAAGT